CTAATTTGATTGGTCGCAATGGAGGGACAGATAGCATTGAGACAGATCAGTCTGCCGTGAAAATCGGATGCAGCGTCCCCGATATCCCTCCGGGAAAATAGAAAATCCAGTTATAACACCGAGTATCGTCGTGTACTTTTCAGCTGCGTTATGAATAATACTTGTCAACTCTAGTGTTATGGTCAGCTCTCATTCAATTTATGATATATATGTCGCTACATGCTGACGCTGTGTTGTTGAATACGCCAAGCTTTAACATCATGCCTCCATATTTCGGGAACTTAATTAAAATCGTAATAAAAATAAGACTGCCACGTGTAGTAACAGTGGTCAGGTTATTCTCATTAAAATTAAGCTGCCAGGAAATGTTAAATTTTACGAGAGTACTAAAAAAAAGCTATTTCGTATGAAATAGATTTAAAATCATTCTTGATCGTTTCAGGCCATATAGATTTCGTAAACAAATCAGTTTTGTTCGCTTATGACTTTCTTGCTTGTCATTCAACATTTTCATGAGTAGCCACATGGCCGAAACTAACCGCGTTACCCACCTTTATTTGATGTTTGCACGCGGAACTTTGTTCATCGCCTCATTTACACAGTAACCAAGGGTACTCTGCCTTTAGTCTTTTCCTCTCTTTCTCTATCTCTCTCTCTGTTCAATAGTCTCCCCGCCTTTTTCCTTTTATGCTTTTGTCTCCTTTATTTAATAGTTTCTATCCTGCACACTCTCATCTTCGTCTCTGAGGGAAATATTAGCCGCGAGCGCAGTAGCGTTAAAGGGGAACAGTTAAATTAATAATTTTAAAATTTGTAGAGAGGTAGAGAGGGGGGGGGAGATTGCCGCTAGTGGCTTGGGTTCCTTTATGTAATTGTAGTTTTCTAGCCGGTGAGGCCGTCAGCGAGCAAATGAAAATTTGAATCAACGACTTTCTGAAAAATTAATTTGTTTGGTGAAAAAATGTAATTATAAATCATCTGATAGCTAGAGAGAGAAGGAGGAGAAGAGAAGAGAGAGGAGGGAGAGAAAAGAGAGAGGAGAGAGAGAGAGAGAGAGAGAGAGAGAGAGAGAGAGAGAGAGAGAGAGTTTCATACAAACTGATATTATTACAAACTTGTAACATAATTGAATATATAATTGGATTATAATATAATTATAATATAATTAAATATATAATTAGTTAAATGCAATATGTTCAAATACAAAATAATATAATTAATATTACTTGCATTTATTACATATAAAAGAGAAGGGATTTATATTGAGGAATTAATATCACATTTTATATCTTATAAAATTATTAATAACACTTACATTTAATATATTAAATACATTTAATAATAATTAAATTTTTCATAAAATATTATATTAATTAAATTGATTATATAATATTAAAATAATATTTTCTAATATAATATTTATTTCTATCATTTTAAAATTATAAATTTAAATTAAACATTTATTTCCATCAAGAGAAATATTGTTTTCAATAAAATGATTAGCATTTTTTTTTAGAAAAATATGTATTCAATCATCTGTATAAATTATTATCATCGTAACATTTCAGACTTGATGTAATTTTTTCATTAACATGATTCCACATAAAATATACATGTTGGCTCGATTAAGCTTCGATTGCTGTAATTTTCACGCGTCGATCTAATGAGAAACGAGGTTATTTCGAACAGTTCGTAACAGGGCACCGGTTGCATCGGGATAATCTTAGCGGCAACCATAATTATGGGGCCCCATTTCGAAACGGGCCTCGCTCGTACACGGTGAGGTCCGACGACGGAGCTTGTTATTGGCAGCGTAAACAACATGATTATCTTCTTCCGCGGTGTAGAACCTGCCAAAAAAAGATTCTATTAATATTTATGACGATCCATGCGTGCGATTCGTTTCGACACCCTACGGAGATGCTAGACTTGCCAAATTATACGACGGAGTGAGTTATAGGTTGCGGCTGCAACGTGCAAGCGCTTTCTACGCTTTCATTACCATCGGAACATATCTGCTACACTCGTAAATGAGTGATGAAGATGAATGAGAGGTCCCATGATCGATTTCGCGAACGTCGCATGTCTCATATGTCCGCAAAAATTATGTTGAGCAAATCAGTTCATATCACAAATATTAGTTCGATATTTGGAGATAACTCAAGGCATAAAAAAATTGATAGTTCTAAAAAAGACAAGTATCATATTGATGTAATAACATCGTATTAGAATATAAATATATTTATTTATGTAAAATTTTAGATATCTAATTTTAATATCGTGCATAATATGAGTATAATAATTAATGCAAGCAAAATCGAAATATAGTCCGTTCAACGCAAGGATTTCTCGTGAATATATATGAGTATGAAATTTATTTGGCATGAATGCAAGCTGCGTTATACGATTTCCCGTGGGTCCAGCGGCGTTTCTCTTTAATGATATTTAATAATGCTACACGTCATCCAGCATCATCGTGAAAAAAATGGCGTCTTCGCATCAGGGTCAATCGGATGCATCGCGCATTCATTCAAAATATCCTATCACGAGTAACGATATTTTTTATTGCTTCGAGAAATCGTACATACAGTCGATTCGATATGCAACAACGATATTTTATTTCGAGGCGTCGTACAATATTTTTTATATCTGTCATTGGATTTATACGATAAGCAGAATCCAATAATCTACCGAGATGGATAGCCCAAAATTCACTGTTATCGATACGATGGCATGTTTTATTTGTTTGAATATTTATTTGTTGTAAATTTTAAAACGGCGATATTTACGCAGCAGCTGTATATTTATCTCTGATGCGTGTATATCTATATGTTGTCATATGCGAACATAAAGCCTCTCGGATTTATCTCTGTGGATAAGTACATTGGAGATGAATTAAACAAAACCTGATTTTCCAAATAATTAGATCGCCGCTAAATTATGATCCGCAGTATTCGCGCTGGATAAATCCCCGACATGAATAAAGTGTAAATAGAGTAGAAAATCGAGTTTAATATTTTGCGAGATAATAACTTGAACTAAGCGCTAGACAAATTGAAGAATGAGCATATTAATTACGTCATACTCTATTAGGATTTATCGCGGACACTGTCGCCACATTTTCGCGTTACGAGCGAACTTTCCGTAAAAATAAAGGGACATTAAAATCCCTTTAGCGACGAATTCCGGGTTAACATTCTTGGAATGGTCGCTCTAACGAGCACTACGACAATAAAAGTGAAAGGTGCGCGAGTCATTCTCGGTCTTGCCACGCGGATTTTCTTTGTCGAGAAAGGGGTTGAAGAAATTGGCAAGAAGAGAGAATGGAAGAGGAGAAAATGGAAAGAAAAAGAGAGAAAGATAGCGGCATCGTGATATTCCGGGCGTTTTCTCAACATGTTAATTGTATATTTGAGGTGAGGCGATAAACAAGGCCTCGTCGGTAGCTCGTTGCTCTTGCCATGGAGAGAGTCTTCATTATCAGCTGTAATATATAACTGCAGCCCCGCAGGGGCATTCCCGATTCGCAGAGCGTGTTACGAAGTGCCGAGTACGTACCGGGTGACCCGGAGAAACCGGATTAGACGGTTGATCGGGGAACGTGATCGTACCTGCGAAAGTCGCGATCGATAATTTTCTCGATTCGTTCTCTCCTGTTAACTCTCGCGACCATCTGGGCCTAAGATCGAGCATTTCTCTCGTTATCACGACGAGCACGAGATAGTGACGTCACTTTTGCTTTGCGAGTTGACTTTCGCGAAGTCGCCGCGGCTAATCGTGTCCGGGCATCTCAGTTGTTCATCGTGCCTCGTAGCGTTCTGAATAGGGGCTCGCACGGAAAGAAAGCGAGATCGCATGTGATCTCGGATACATCGGTTTTGAAAGTGGTCCCGCGTATATACAGGGTGTCCTGATCCTAGATTCTCCACGACTTGTTACATATACGAACTTGCATCAATTTTCTGTCGTATCAAAATAGCAATATTTGAATGTAAATAAATAAAAATCCAGAATTTTACATAAAATAAGGTATAAAGATAAAAAAAAATTATTAATAATATACCTCAATTTTTCTATGGCATTATATTTAATAATATATAAACTACTTTTATACAGAATTTTAATTCAAGAGAAATATTTATAGCAATGTTAAGAGATAATATTAAATTAAATTTTCTTAGGAAAATTATCTGTATACATTTCAACTTCATTAAAAGAAATATAAAGTTATATAACGTAATCTCTAGTTTTGGAATATCTTTTGTATCTTGAATTTAAAAAGAGAGATATATACAATATACGTATTCAAACTTATCGCTTTATACTATTTTTTAAATATTTTAAATATTTTTTAATTATTAATTTTCCAAAGTAGTCAAAAATTTTATACATAAGTATTCTTGAGACTATACATGTAGGTATACGTGTAAGTACCGATCAACTTTCAAGTCTTGAGGTGCGAACCGGTTTTCTCGGCTTGATTTTTGACACGAGCTCCAAGCCTTCTTCAACCCTCTCAGTTTATTCCGACGGGGTTCTTGCGCATCATTTTTGTCTTTCCTTGTCGCTCTTCGTTGGAGCAAACCAGGCTTTATTCAGGACACGATGTGGTGGATAGCGGCGGCACGCCCTCCTGGTGTCAGATTTTATTTATCTCACGGCGGCTTTTTGTTTCGCGCTAAATACTCCGGCGTTTAAGAAGATGGGCCTCCCCGATTTATGGCCGCCGTTGCTGCCTCGAGTTCAGCTTCTTGCCCCTCTTCGTCTTTCTCGAAGCCGCTCTTCGAGTGATTCACGTAAATTCTTCGCGGATGCTTGTCTCGTGGTTTATCCATCGCCAGCATCTCGTCGAGAAATATGTCGCAATCGTTAACTACATATATTTTAAAAATAAAATGTTGGATTTATATTATAATATAACAAAAATTTTAAGAGAGAAAATATAAAGTAACAAATTCAAAATTTTTATTCTAAAAACACTTCTTTCTATTTTATTCCAGATAAATATGGAAGCAGTGACATCGACCGACTACGATTCCACAAATCTCAGTAGAAACTTTAATCAAGTTGGCTTCAACACATATAATTACTCACAATTCGAGGAGAAATATAAACCGCGACAATTCTTCAAGTATGGCGATGAGTATCTCGAGTACGGACACAAACTCGGTGCCAATGAAAGATACGCGCGAATGAAGTATCAGGACGGCTCGAGGCTCGATCAACGATATTCACGCAGTCAATCTCAGCCGGAACGGCAACACCATCTGTACCAGGAGATACGCTCCAAATCTCAGGATTCTCGCGAGCTTACATTTTACCAGATAAATCCGCCTCCGAAAACAGAGAATCCACGACAACATGACAAGTCGCAAAAGTTGAAGAAAGAGCTGACATTCTACGAGATTGACGGACCACCATCCTGTCAGGAGAAGAGGGAGAAATCCGAGATGTGCAAAGAGCGTGCCGACAAAGGGACTAAATCTCACGACAAGTCCCACGCTGGTGGTCAGGAGAAGTCGCAAACCGCAAAGCACGGCAGACAGAGTCACCAGGAGCAGCAGAAAACACTGGCGAACGCGTCGGATCACCGTCAGCTGAACCGATCGCAGTCGGATCTCACGGAGTGCCAGCTGCCGAATTACTGCGGTCATCGGAATAATCCATACATTGATCCGCCCAAGTATCGACAGTTTGACAGACCACCGCGCTATCAAGAGGCTCCGCCGAGAGTAGTGGAACCACCGCCCAAGTATCATGCCGATCCGCCTAAGTACGTCGAAGTGTCCAAACGGCAAGACGACTCTAAGAAGATCCAGGTAAGCCATGGCATATAGGAAAGTCTCGTTTGTGTCGTATCTTTGAAAGTTGACTGACATTGGAACACGCAAGTTATTCCAAGACATTATGGCTCCTAATTATCATTAAAATAATATAGAAAATAGCTATCCGATAATTACATCGTACAATTTTTAATATGAAATTTTTAATATGCAATATTTCTAATATGGAATTATTTGAAAAACTAGTTTTTGGAATTAAATATGACGTAGAAACTATATATATATACATATATGTAAAAATTTACTCCGAAATTTGTCACTTTATATGTGTATAATATGAAATAAATATCGGAGTAAATCATTATTTTGTATTTGTATAAAATTGATTATATATATATATATAATTGATTATCTCAAAAAGAGACGTTAGTCCGCTGTCAATCGCGCTTTACCATTATTGCTTCGTTTTCTCAGTAGCTCACGTGGCAGCGGTTTGATATATATTCGCATTAACGGTAGAATGTGCATGAATCGTAGTACTACATGCCGACTATAGTACGTCGCGTTATCATTCGGCAGGAGGAGAAGGGGAGACGACAAGGTGGTAGTGGCGGCGGGGGTGGCAGCATCAGCGGTGGCGGTGGCAGTGGCGGTAATTCCAGTGGGGGAAGAGGGAACACCGGCACTCATGGCGCCGAGACGCCCTCTAATCTGGCCAGTATCACGCCGACCGCGCGAGAAGCAACACGTGCCCCGATCGCGCGACAACGAATTTTTCACAAAACGTGCGACGTGCGCAACAACAGTAGCAATAACAACAATAACAATAGCAAGGAGAACTTGCTACAGGAGACTGGCGATGATTGCGACGCAACGTTATCCTCGCATTGTTACGCCGAGCCGCTGAAAAATCATCATCGTCATCATCAGCAGCAGCAGACCCGCGGGATCAACGGTAGCAACATCGCTAGCGGTGTCATCATCGGTAATGTTTTTTCGGACAGTGGCAGTGACGGCTCGTGCGGCGAGGTAACAACGAGCGACAAATACAAGGGTACCGGGTCAGAATCGAATCGGAACAGCAGCGGCGACGCGATTCAAGGTCGTCCGAGTGAGAGATCCATGCTGAAGATCGAGAAGCTGTCGGGAAAGACCGTTTTACACAGCGGCGGCGGTGAGTCTGCAGCGGCTGGCAAGTGCGGCGCGGATAGGATGAAGCCGGCCTCACAGGAGGCCGGCTACAACAAGCACGAGGTCAGCAAGGCCAAGAGCCACGATGTCGGCCACGGTTACAAGGTCGAGAACCTGCGTTATTACGGAGAGCTGAAGGGTTACGCCGATTTTAAGGTTTACGGTACCGTTGACAAGCAGCCGGTGTCCGCGTTGATATCCGCGCACGAGAAATCGCACCTTCTCCACGCACCTTCCTCGTGCGAAAAGGGTGATAAGTGTCACAAGATGCTGTCCTCGTCCGCGCAAGGATACGGTCTGGGCAAGATCGCTCAGCAACAGCCGGAGAAGAGTCACTACAGCGGAGATCATTACTACCACAGATCATCGCATTCGAAACCGCCGAGCGCGTATCAAGTGTACCAGGAGACCAAGTACTCATACAACGTGAGCGGAGTGCCTGGGACACCGGCGCAGGCTAGCGCAGCCGCAGCGTTCTTCGCAAGGTCAGTCAAGGTTCTCACTCAATTTAATAAATCTGATAGCGCGTCGCAATAGCGTGTTTATGACGTATCCGATGCGAATTTCTCAGTTTATCGCGATACTTTAACTTTCCGGAGTATTGATTTTTTTTTACTCTATGAAAAGAAGAAGGATTTAAAAGAAAATCATGAAGAATTACAAATTACATTCATTTACATACAACATACATTTAATATGTGATATTTATTTCTTTTAGTTTTATGATTGTTGATGTTATGGTAGTAATTTCACAAACATTCGTAAATTGAAATGATTAATATTGTATTCATAAGTAATTTTATTTTTCAGAATTTGTTTTTTTTTTTGTTTTTTCAACTGTAAATTGTGTCTTTAATATTAATTAAATTTTAATTCACTGCATCTTTTAAATCCTTACAATATTGTGTTTTGAAAACACAGGAATGAAACAAATAATATTGATTTATTTTTAATATTGCATATTTTAAATAACGTTTCCGAAAATAAAAATTTCCGAAAATTTAAGTTAATGTTGCTGTGATTAAATTTAATTCTTTTTAATTACTTGGGGACAATTTTACAATTTTATTTAAACAATTTGGATATTGTGAAAGTTTAGTACGGCTATTATACACGATTTTTATTTGTTCGGAGAAATTTATACTCTTTTATATCGTATGCGAAGCAACCAATTTACAAGATCGTAACCGCGTGTACAGATCTCATATTCCGTTAGTGCGTATCTAAATGTAAAAAGTCGAGTGCCGGACATTTTTCATCGTTATCAAGCAGGCCTGCTTCTTGGAGCGTGAATGCAATCGTTTTAACGCTTGCAAACGCATTATTTATTACGCGAATCGATAGCTTGTTTGCTCCATGTTATTTGATATCTGCAAACTTTAAATTATTTTAGTCAACTTATCTTTAAGTATAACTTCAATTCATAAAAATTGCAATACACTGCTGTAATCCAACAAGAGCTTTTCTCGTGAAAATATATTTTATATTTTACGCTTCACATCAAACAATATAATCCTATTCTCTCATGTTTCTTACTCATTTCGTGCACCGGTTTTCACGGGTGTAATTACATGATTATGCGAACGCAGTTAGCTGTAAAATAGCACTCGTTTTAAATCCCCCCGGGTCGTTCTTTTCATTCCGCGACTAAATGGAAAGTGCAAAAGCCCAATTCTCCCGACCCCGGGTTGGTCTTATAAGGCACATTTTGCATCACGTTAGCCATTATCGCGAAGCATGTGTACGCGACCATCCTTCCTGGTTAGGTCGGTCTCAAGCTTTGATCTTGGCTCGCATATTTTCGACGTTCTCATATGAAAACACACGCAGCTTGCGTACGAGAGCGCTTGCACGAGCGAGCGTAAATCGCATGCGGTTTTATGCGCCAGGAGAAAGCTCTTGTTCTCTCTCTCTCTCTTTGTCTCTCTCTCTCTCTCTCTCTCTCTCTCTCTCTCTCTATCTTTATCTCTATCTATCTAAAGGTCCCGCGGCCGCAACCGTCTTTTCCCCTTAACCTTAGACGCGACCTCAGCCCTTTAATAACCTTGCTCATAGCTCGTGGATATTGTAAAGCACAATGGCATTCTTGGGGCCGCCTGCTCGTACTCCTGTCTCCATCTTGCCTCCTCTTTTTCTCTCTCTCTCTCTCTCTCTCGTTCTCATTAGTTCTTCGTATGTGCGTGTAAAGTGCGTGAATCCATGTGAGTTATTAGCGGTGGCTAATTACGAAGTACGTTTAATAGCGACGTATATACTTTGAGAATCGGAAGAGATTTTCTGAACAAAATGATGGGAGAGAACGCTCGGGGGAAGTTTCTCTCTGGTTAGTGCCGGACTTTGGAACGCACTGGCAAATTATTCAAAGCGAATGGAACTGTTATTCGGATATTCGGCTATATGCGTGCGTATGATAAGTCAGGGCTTTCAGCGAGCGAGCGAACGCGGTGGCTTTAGGCTTACGCGAGTTTTAATGATGTTTCGGGCAAAGCAATGACTGGTTTATCCAACGAGGATTTAAGAACGTTCAATATGACATGACTATATCGGATGTATAGGTTTGCCCTTTTATCTCGATTGAATGCGCTCCCCCAATTAATTTACATCAAAAATAAATGTTACATCTACCGCATTTTTTATTTTTTTCCTTTCGAACGCAGCTGATAAAAATTTTCGATACGCCTATTGAAGCATATTTCATTTGTTATAGAAATATTCTTTTCTTTCATACAATATCCAGACATTGGTTGGCCATTGTTATTAAATGAACGAATACCGGAACAATATTGTTGAAATGGAATTTCGTGCGCTTGTTTTTCCCTTTTTTCCGATTGACTTGTCAATTTTTCGAGAGATTTTTTTCATTTTTGCAGTAGTTTTCTAAACAAACGATCGTGAAAATATTATATATATATAATATTCATGATAAATATATTCATAATAATATTCGTTCGTTTAGGAAATTATTGCAAAAATGAAAAAAATCTCGAAAAATTGACAAATATATATATATATACATATATATATATATATATATATATATATATATATGTATATATATATATATATATATATGTACATAGAGACAGTATTGTGATGTACTATTACAAGTCAGTTAGCTAACTCATCATTAACGTATAATAGGGCGTCTGAGCGAGCGTGCCTTGTGTTCCAATGATTTCAATGCACTCTTGTCAGCATAGTGACGCCTGTTCTCCAGGAATTGTCTCTTCTCAATACCTCTTCCTTTTATTCCTTAACAATTCCTTAGAAAAGACGGCTCGTAGGAAGTTGTCGTGCGACAAGAATTGAAATTAATCATGTTCTACGAGTACATTGATCGATGTCCTATTATAAATTTTTTATAATGTTAATTAAATTTTAAAATTAGCTGCCTTTATTGTATTCCTATTATTGAGATCGTAATATTTTTTATTAATTTGTATTTCTGAATATATTAAAATTTAACTGAATTTTAGAGAAAATATAAATTTAATTAGTAAACTTAATTATTAAATTATGAATGATGATAGAGAGAATTACAGAAAGTTAAAATAAATATATAGTTTTGAGTTTAAAATTAATAATTTTTTCAAACATTGCGTCGTGTCATAATCGAAAATATTACAGAAACTCTCAATTTTCGATTCCTCAACTATTTTTTAAGATGTCATTTAGTTCAAACACATCAATATCAACGTGAAAACTAGTTCGAAAACGTTTAGAATATCATCCTATCAAACATAGGCGAACTTTTCGTCGAGCTCGTTTATTTCGCGTTTCTTATTCGATTCCTCAGGAATAGTCAACCGTTTCGTTTTAATCGTTTTCGTGACGCTCCGGATGTAAATCTGTTTGGCAAACACGATGCGAAGTTGCTGCGAGAGTGGCTGCGCTTTTTTTTCCAAATTTTCTCGCAATCGAACTCCGATGGAGGCCCCGATTTCCCAATAGACTCCATCGTTGCGCCTCTCGTAAAGTTGAGATTTCAAAACTTTCACATTGGAGTTGCCAGTCTATACGTAGCCTGAACACACGGCAAATAAAATTGACCTAGGTTGCACATCCCCCGATGCCGGTGGGATGGATGAAGGAGAGAGAAGCGGAGAACGCGGAGAAGATAAGGTGAAGGCGGTGGGCCAAGTCCGCCTGTATTGTTGGACGTCGTGATTTTATTGCTCCTTTATATTGCCTTCGCGATACTCTTTCCTTCTCTCGTTCTTTCTTTCTCTCTCGTGCTACGCTCATTTCCGTCTCTTCGCCTCACGCCCCACGTTCGTCGCTGTTCCTCACTTCCGACCTCTGGCTCCGGGATCGCGAGAGCGATTTTTACGAGGCTGCTTGTCTCGCGTCTCCTGAGATGCAACCTGACCTGCCGCCATTCCTGAAAATTGCAATTTCGAGGATCGCGATAGTTGGGATCGTTTTTAATCGAAAAACGGAAAATAATATCGGGCGAGAGAGCTAGAATCCGGTCACGAAATCGCGAAACTGTAAGAAATTATGCGAATCTTTAAGCAGTGATCGTTGGAAGCGACTGGGTTCGTGCGTCCTTTTCTATCGCTGTTTGTGGTCGTATTTTGCTTCTCTTCAATGCGACTCTCGAATCAAAAAATTATATTTAAATCGTATAAGAATATAAACGCATATAAACTGGATGACCAACCAGGATTCTACTCGCATGGGAAACATTGAAAGAACGGAATATGATCGCTATTATAGAATTACAGAAAAGGAAGAACGCATCTTCGGATTTTTTACCCAACGAGACACGCGCGCGTGCGTTTTATCCTATACATATTTATAGCATACAGGATTTTGTCTTCGTTGTCGAAGCTCGGCGTGGGCAATGTGATAGCACACGCTGGGATTCTATTAGACATACTCGGATAACCCTTAATTAGGCAGATGGGATGCGAGGAACGGAACGTAAATAAACGCCTGCATACATATTACTCGTGGAAACGTATCCTATTTAATTTGAAAGCCGAGGAAAGACTTTATCTCGTTATGTACGTACAAGTGGTATATCGTGTCTGTGAGCGGCAATAATTATTGGTGTGAAAATAAGAAACTGCACGCCGTGAAAAATTATTCGCGATAGGATGCAAAATTATCGACACAAAATTTACATCAAAACATTCTGAGTATCAAATTACATCGTGAAGCAAAGTTAATAATGAGTGGAATTGAGAAACTTTCAATTCTCCATGGATGAAAGATAATCTCTCAACTTTTCTCTTTCAAGAGATTATAATTGTTTTAGTTCTAAAAATAATTGTTTCAGTTCCAGAAATAATTATATATATATATATATATATATATATATATATATATATATATGTAGGATGTTGGATTTGGCGGTCGGTTGTCGCGCGTGCGGCATCGATTTTTAGTTTCGACCAATAATAACTAAACACGCGTGATACATGCGAGCAAGGAGAGTATAAGGAGAGACGCGCGAGCGAGAATGTACCGAGTGTATCGA